GTGATGCCAACCCTCTGAATGAGGGCCTCAGCCTCCCCGGTGGTGATGGGAGGGTTCCGACCTCCAGTGGTGCTGTTCTCCCCCTGTTGGGGAACTCCGGTACCTACATTGGCGTTACTGCGCGTTTGCACCATCGTCTTAATGGAGGATTTCCTCTGAGTATGATTCTCGAACTCTCAATGAGAGCACCAATTTGATGGACAATAAATCCACCAAATAATCCGATCCGTTAAGCGGATCGTAAGAACAAAATTAAGAACGAGAATTCGAGAATGGGGTATGTATTATTAGCTTGATTTTGCTTGAATTTCCCCTTTTCGGGTCTCCTCTATTTATACATGAGCTATATGCAATTAAGGTTACGCATAATTGATGGAGTCTATCCCGTTAAGGGCGCGATCCCCTTTTTCCGGCTCTGTAACGGCCAATCTGCTCCGTCTCCTTCTCCGGACTGGCTCTGCCAGCTACTCTTGGTCTAAAGTCAACCGGGCCCGGCTCTGTGGGCCGGCCCAGACCTGAGTACTTTCCGAGTGTCTGACCCGAAGCTGTACAAGCGGTTCATTTGGGCTGCCCACTGGATATCGGCCCATCAAGATCTTTTACAATATTTATTTGTTGATTAAACTTTTGTTAGTCGTTACTGAAAAAAATACAAACATATGTTATAGCATTGGTAAATAAGTTAGAAATACATTAAATCGCTAATATAAAAGTGTTGTTTATTTTTTCACACTTTTCATATTAAAAAATCTTTAGATATCTTTAGAATTTGTATCTTATTTTCAATTTGAATATTTTAAAAAACTTATGTAAAAAGATAAAAACATAACATATGAAAAAAAACTTGTAGTCTTAAAGTGACATTATGTGTTGGAACACGGGTTTACGCCTACGTCGTACTAAACCGTGTTCGTTTTATGACAGGTTTCGATAATACCAAACCGCCTCGAAAACAAGAGCAAATTGAGCAAATCAAAGGCAAAGAAACATGACGTGATATTGAATTGAAAAGGAGAACCGAGAACCAAGAACTAAGAACGAAGACTTAGAAACTAGTTGGGTCGGTCTTAATGTGATCAAGACCGGCACAAACCTCTAAACTTGGCTCTCTAGGCTTATTACATTAAAATACTTTTTTGCATATTCAAAAATGTGTTTCATAAGTTTTAAACAAGCCTAAAAAACTTGGTGTTCGCCCAAACAAAAAACCAAGTCATCCAGCGTTCGGCTTTCAGAAACCGGCGTTCGGCATTCGGCTATCGGCGTTGGTTTTTGGCGTCTGAACCAACCAAGTGGTTTTACACTTTTTATGATTGGTTTTTACTTCTGGACACATTTAAATAGTTCTCCAACAAAAACTCTTCAAAAACCACCTTTCTTTTTGGTCGTTTGGTAAAAACCATGCAAAACGACGTAAAATTGGCTAGCCGTGGTTTTTACCTAAATGACTTGGTTTTTAAGATCTCTCACTTGATTTCTTAGCAAAATACATTAAATAAACGTTTTTAACACTTGGTTTTTATTTTGGAGAACTTTAATTTTAGACATCGGCTTACGGCATGACTAACCAGCATGGGTCTTGCTAAACCAGCCCAACAGCGATGTTGGAGTGATCAACAGCGCTCTCTGGCGTTGACAGCTGAAAACCATGGTTTGGTGTTAAGTCTTCCAACAGCGATGTTGGTCAATGAACATCGTTGTTGAGCCAAGGTTGAAATTCCAGAAACATCTGGAATAGCGATGTAGACTTCTCTACATCGATGTTCAACCTAAGCCAAAAGAAAATGCCTTTGGCAGAAAGTTTTTGGACAGCGCTGTTGACCCAGCAACATCGATGTCAGACCATTTTTCATTCTTCAAAGTCAGGCCTGAACAGCGATGTTCAAGTAATGAACATCGATGTAGGTGTCAAGGAACCAACTCAACCACAAGATCAAGCTTGTGGTTGTGGCCCAGGAATAGTTATTTATATTCTAACACGCCCCCTCACGTGCAGGCGTAGTCTTTTTCGAGCCTTGCACGTGAAACCTTAATTTTTTTTTAAACTGGGTGGCGCTGAGTTTCAAACCCGTGACCTCTTAGTCAACGAGGCTCCGATACCATGTCAAGGAACCAACTCAACCACAAGCTCAAGCTTGTGGTTGTGGCCCAGGAATAGTTATTTATATTCTAACAGTAGGCACCTGACCGTTGGAAGGAATTTATGGCTGAAACTTTCCATGTTTGGAAGTCAACAGCCAAAACAACGATGTTGGCCTTTTGGACATCGCTGTTGGCTTGACCGTTGCTCCCTGTTTTTCAAAAACTAAGCCGACAACAGCGATGTCCAAGTTATGGACAACGCTGTCAGGCTGATTTTCAACAGATCCAATTTTAATCAAATCCCACAAATTATGTCAATCACCACCATTCAACTCCTACCCGTTGGAGCCTATTTTTCTATTATAAAATGGGGTGTTTGGGTCTGTTTTCACAACCAATTACTTTACAACTCCTATTATTCATTGCATTACATTCATACATTTTTCCATAGCTTTTCGAGAGCCATCTTTGTGAAGTTTGTGTTGTGTTCTTGAGCGTATTATTTTACTCCGATTCACTCTTTTGAGAGAGCCTTGTTCTTGAGTGTTCTTAGTGTTTTATACACGTTAAGGGAAGCTTGTTTCCCTTGGTTGTACGAAGGAAAGGTGTTTTTCTTCGGGTTGAAGTCTTGGAGTGCGGTATCTCTGAGCAAGTGTTGTTGAGGCTCGTGGGACTCGAGTTCTCAGGTTGTAACGGTTTGTTAAGCACCCGTAAGCTTAACGGAAGTAGTGTAGCTCGAGAGAGTATCTCGGGAGACTGGATTAGTCACACGTTGTGGTGAACCAGTATAAATCTTGGTGTACTCCTTTTACGCTTTCTACGCTCTTTACTTTTCAACGTTCTTAATTTTTTTATTCCTGCGATTTCTACGATCAAACGCTTTCCCCCCC